ATTTTTTTGTATTTTTAAGTATTTATACAAAATATAATACATATTTTTGCTGTGAAATTAAAAAAAAAACCCGTTACATTAAAAAAAAAGATAATATTTAAATATTTTAAGATATATTTGTATTTCTATTAACAGTCAGTTTTTAAAAACCTCAGTAATTCAGTATTCGCATGTTACAAAATATAGTTGGCAATTTGAAAATATTGTTTTCTTGGGCTACTTTTCTCTCGTTTTTCTGCGTTATGTATAGAAAGGTCAGAAAAAGAAAACAAGTCTATTTAAAATGAATGACGATTATATGCACTTACAATCCAGGCTTTCTGCTTGGATTTTCAATGCGCAACCATCCAATGGTATATTAGGTTATGGAGCCATAAATTTGATCTTATATGAAATGCTTTTATAGTTTGAATTTTCTTTATCTTTAATTTTCTTCTTGTTACATCTTGAAGAAACTGCAAATTGTATGAAAAAAAAAGTTAGTCACACTTTGTGACTTGTCGATGAACTCGACATTTTAAATTGAGTTAAACTTTTTCTGTGACCACAGTATAAAAAGCTATAGCGTGGTCACCTTTACTTTCACTAACGTTAGTCGGGTACTTATCAGATGTGGTTGGAGCCAAGGACAATATACGGACTTTAGCCTGTTTCCCGATCTCAAGACTTTCGAGCTTCAGTACGTGCGCTCTACCGTCCTACCATACCGTCCCATTGTACTAATATCAACTCATTGATGTTTCTTAACAATGGCAATACTGTTATGTTTTATCTTTTGTTTTGTATTTTCCAGTGTCGTTTCAAAATTTCAAAACTAAACTAATGTTATGCTTTTTATTAATTGTATTTCCCTTAAAAATAAAAGCACTTTATAAAATGATGGTTTATTTGAATTGTGACTTCTGTGTCGTATTGTAGCTTCTGTGTAGTCTTGTGGCTTCTGTGTCGTATTGTAGCTTCTGTGTAGTCTTGTGGCTTCTGTGTAGTCTTGTAGCTTTTGTGTAGTCTTGTGGCTTCTGTGTAGTCTTGTAGCTTCTGTGTAGTCTTGTGGCTTCTATGTAGTCTTGTGACTTCTGTGTAGTCTTGTGGCTTCTATGTAGTCTTGTGACTTCTGTGTAGTCTTGTAGCTTCTGTGTAGTCCCTGGGACTTCTACAGCAGAGAGTATTGGAAATCTGAAATGATAATTTGTTGACTTAACACCCCTAAAAGCGTATAGGGCCTACACCTTAATTTAACACACCGACTATTTAATTCTTGTATAGTGGATAAGCCATAATTTTGAAAAAAATATTTTACATTTTATCAAACAAGAAAAATAAAATCAAAATTTAAGAAATTATAGACATCTAAATATTATCTCAACAGTTTAGGCCTCTGAATAGCATGTACCACTAGTGCTATCATGAATATCTGTTTTCATTTTAATACGACCACACGCTCTCCAATGTTGCTCTAGTAGGCCAACTTTGCGTTGTTTGTAACATTATAATATTGTTACGATCCCCTGGGTTTTTTACCTGGTTTGGTCCTATAGGAGGGCATGCGAGTAGTAAGGGGACGGGTGACCAGCGCTTGGCTGCTGCAAATAGGCCGGACAAGCACATACAATAAAACGCTGAAACTTGTTCCTACATTGACCATCGCTGTCAGGCCAGATCTGTGATTTGTTAATTTTTCTTTTTTCTTTATATTTAGACGTTTTGTATTAGATCTATGTATAAGTAAACCATCTTAAATGAATGAAAGCAGGCTACAAGTAAGAAAGAAATATTACTATTGTAAATCTGTATCAGTCCTCACAAGCCGATGATGAAAACTGTAATACTAAAGCGAACACACAAATGACGCTATAAATTACGTGTCTGAGGCAAAAAAAAAAAAAAAAGTAAACTACCGACCCTAGGTGTCTAACGGTCGGTAGTTTACGAATGGGAAATATTTTTGACAATATTGTGACAGATATGGCAGTCACATTAAGGACTTCGTTTTTAGTTTTCTGCTAATTGTGTTTGATGTTGTGGCGGTATTAATGATGGTTGTTGTATTTTTTATCGTGGTAGTTAAGTGTAGAAAAAGTTGCTAGTTGTGTTTATTCAATATAAGTTATTGTTCTTGTTTACGAATTCCCAAACTAGTTCGAAATGACATGAGAAAGGGAAGTAACAATATATAAAATTATATATTTTTAATTTTATTATTTATACCCCTTTAATGAGGGAAGCAACTCAATTAAATTTGTACATATATAAGAGAAATAAATATATTTGTGATTAAATGTGTTAATGCTATTCACCAGTCTATTATCAACACTACACTCAGGTATCCGCCATATTGTAAGTCGTTGAAAACTGCGTCAATCAACAACTTAGACACCAAATTAGATGACACAGCTACCGACAGCCATATTGGAAAAGATGCGATTGCCAGGCTACCAATACGAGATATTTAAAAAAAAAAACGTCAGCAGTTTATTGCGAGATTTTTTATTTAGTTGAAATCACGTGTGACTGATCAATAGGGGTTGGGGCATTGAAATGGATAATTGATAAGTGATATTGTAGTAAATAATGAATTTGAGTATAAAGCTATTACCGTAAACAACATAGGTTATGCACCTATGGGCAAAGTCCCGCTGTGGTCCAAGACCTAATGGTTAAAGCCCCTTTGGTCAAAGTACCTATAGTAGGAGCCGTTTATTTCTAACAGCTAGCTTTAGTGTCCTCAACTCAGGTTCATATTAAAACATGGATCTCCCAAAATGCTGTGTAAGTAATCAAAAATAGTCTTCTACATTTAATAAGCATAGAAAAAAATCCCAATATTTAAAAGTGTCATGTAGTAGGCCTACAGTATATATTGACTATTCTAGATAAACTGATTACTTATAACCAGAACAAACGGACGTGTTAACTGTTGTCAATATCCATCTCGATTCCTAAGCTTTTAAGGGGCGTAACACTTATAACGAAAATATTTTTCTACACTTTATTGGTTGTCTCACTTGTGTATTTTATTTTTTTTTTGTTTAAAAGGAACCGAATTTCAAATAATAAAAATGTCTATTTTACTACTTAGAAAATAGGTATAACAAAACTAGAACTTGTCAACTGATCAATTATTTTGCAAACATTTCAGAATCTGTTTTGTTTTAGGCAAAAGTTTTATAAGTAAAATAAAATTTTTATAGTCTACCACGTTTGAGGCACCATTTAGAGGTGTATAATTAGTAGAATAGAATAGGTTACTGGTGTTAAAAGATAAACAGAAATTGATATTGATGCTAAGGGATCTGATACCTCTTCTACTTAAAGGCTCTTTAAAATAAAAGTTAATTGATTGCAAAAGCTAATCAGACACAACTGTGTCGACAAAAAGAATATATTGATAAAGTGTAGTATGATGGGATCCATTAATAAACAAGTTGTAGAAATGTGTCATAGTAGGTGGTGAAAAGCATTATCTAATTTATTAGGGTTTAGTTAACAATAATAATTATTGATTAATTAATCATCATAGTGTTCTACTAACAGGATATATATAATTCAACCGGTAGGAGGGTCATCGCCACTTCACTGCGGGGAATAAAATGCGTCACATAATATTTCAACTGGCATGTGAACTAAGACTCAAGCAGGATGAGCACTCAATAAAATTGCAGGAGCTAGTAACAGCAAGCAGTACCAATGCTAATAACCAAATCTGATAACCACTTGCCTTGAAAGGGTTTACAGCCGACAAGTAAACTTAATGAGCAGGTCAGATGGCTTCGGGTCAACTCAATGACCGCAGTTTTAAGCCTTTAATTAAATTAGGCCGTATAAGTTACTACAAACTACAAGAAGAGGATAAATGTGCTTTTGATAGAATTAACACATACTTTGTAATAATGGTATAATAATGACAAGAATTACAACATTGTTGCAGTAAATAAAAATGACTTACATCCAATATAAAATCAGAGCAAGTAGGAGTTGGTCAGCTGTAAGAGCAGACTATATGTGCATTTATTAGATGTAACAAATACTTGGCAATATTGGTATATTATGAACTGCATGAGTTACAAAAGTGTTACAGTAAATCAAAATAAAATGAGTACAATACAAAACCATGAGCACGAGGGAGTAGGACCGACGGCCCTCAACTCCACGTGCAAAAGCAACCAAGAAGAGAAAATAATTGTGTTGCTTCCCCTAGACACTAGACACAAGAGAATAACTTGGATGGGGGAGGGTGGATAGGATGAAGAACGTATGTAGCTGGCGGTAGTTTTTAAAAATGAGAAGCAGTTTTATAAGATAAGCAAAATATTCCATATCATATGGAAGGGATGTTTTTAAAATACATCCCAGATTTAAAATAGTCAGAAAAAAAATTGGGTGTAATCAGCAAGCCCATGCTGAGATGTGCATAAAATAGAATGTCTATCCCAGTCAGTTATTTTTATCAACACATGATAAACAAAAAAAAAATATCTATATCATATGGAAAAGATGTTTTAAAATACATCCCAGATTTAAATAAAATAGTCAAGAAAAAAACAGCTTGCAATCAGCAAGCCCACGCTGAGATGTGCTAAAAGCAGAATTTCTAATATCAGTCAGCTTTTTTTTATCAATGATGTAAACAGGTTTGAAGATTACACGGTGATAACCTACACATTTAAACCCCACATTCCATAAAAAATGTTTGATTGATGTGAATAACTGTTTTCCACTTTACCAGCTCTATTTCCGTCCTCGTTAATGTCTGTTTTTCAGTATACCTGCTCATTTTTTTGCAACCTTTGATTTCGCAATCAGATTTATCATATTTTATCTAGTCTAGAGTATTTTCGTCGCATGATTTTACATGGAATTTCTATATCAATTTAGAAGCAGTTTTTTTGCGTGTAGCCGAAATGTTTGAGTTTTGGCAAAGAAAGTAGCTCTTAAAAAATTAAAAACTCCACGGGAATAGATAAACGTATCAAGGTGCACCTTGGCACTTGGCACATTGCAGTGATAATATTTTGGAAACAAAATTTCAAGTTAAAAATAAATTTGATTTTTCTTATCTTCATTAGTGACGTCAGTCGGATAAAAGTTTGAAAAAAATACATGAATATTCCTATTTAAACAAGCCCGCATTTCAGTTTCGTTTGAGATTCAAGTGGTTAAAGTTTTGTATTTTGGTGAATTGTTAAAACTACTACAATGATTTTCTCAGTGCTGTACATGTTCATCACATTGAATATTATTTTCATTACAGGTAGGTTCATGTAACTAGTATTGAATATAAAAATTTCACATTACTGAATTTAACAAAATACTTTTAAGATTGTCTTTTTTAATATTAAAAATTATACATTTACAGCTCGCTGGCAGCTTCGAAACATTTAATTTTGAGATTCTTCACTACTTTAAATATTTACACACTACATTGAATGAAAAATACGAGAAGTTCGAAACATTTAATCAAACCAACTACCTGATAGAGATTTTCTCAGGTACCAGTAATCCACACAGTGTCCTACGGGAAAGCGGCGTTAGGACAAACGACATTCGGGTGATTGTCTTTCAAGAAAACTTCAGTTTCCTTCTTTCCAAACTCCATGGTATTAAACATCCGTCTTCGAAATCGTGATTCCTTAGGAGGCATAAAGCTTCACCAAACACATCGATCCTGTGTCTTCAGCTCTCACTGTCCCCTGTTGCAGCCCAATTTAATTATATCTTCGATTCCCAGATTCTGGTATTTCTAATTCTACTTGTGCCTTACGGGTAGTAAATGAAAATCTATCGGGTTATGCTGGGTGCCATTTCCGTAAAAAAGTTCTTTTTTCTCGTTCTTTATTCTAGTGTTGGAAGGAATTTTCTCTAACACAGATGTTTTTCTTCAGGCATCTTTCGTCCAACGAAGAACTAACTATCAGGCAGCAGTTGTTTGATTTTGGAGTTGTCTCTCCTAGAAGAGTGGCTGTCCCCAGCTTTCTAGCCTCAGCTCTCCGAGGCCTAAAACGTCTTAGTTTAACAATCATGAGCTATATTGTCTCGACCACGACGACCCCAAAACGTTCACAATATATCGCTATCATTTCGATTTCTGATGTTTTTAAACAGCTTGCATTTTTATCTGCCTTTCAAGATCTCCATTTTTGATACACTGTATGGCAAGTGTGTTCCATTTTCTTCTTCTTTTCTAACATTTATATTAATTAAAGTCTGGATCTTCTGTGAGTTTTTGGCGGTAGTACTCTTGGTTAACACTCCAGATATAATTATCAGCTTGACCAATATAATAAAGTTCTGGTCCTGACATTCAGTTTTAAATGACAAAAAGCTGTCATTGGACTAGATAGCAGCAAGTTTTAGACTATATTTCACATTGAATAATTTATTTCCTTCAATCCTTACATAACAGCTATCCAATTCTATTATTTATTCCAGCAGCGGCAAAGTGATGGCTAGGAATCTATTTACTCTAAGATAGCATGCAAACAAATTGGAATTAGAGGTCATCCGTAAATGACGTCACGCTTTTTTGACGATTTTTACCTTCCCCCCCCCCCCCCCGGCTTCCCTCCGTCACACGTCGTCACAAAAACTCAGACCCCCCCCCTCTAAAACGACGACACATCTCAGCCTACTACCCCCCTCAAAATTGCATTTTAATTTTCTTAAAAATCAATTTTTTTTTCAGTGGCGGAAATACAAAAATACGAACATAGAATACTCAATTCGGGCTTTTTCAAGTTTTGAAATCAAATTGAAAATTAGTAGTTTTTTTTTTAATTAAAATTTTAACTACACGTCATTTGTTTTTATAATTCCTGTAAGCAAGTAGGTCAAAAGAATATGAAGCATGAAAGCTTTATATCTGTAATGGTTTCTAGCGTTAAGTTTTTTTTTTTTTTTTTGCATTTATATTACATTTTAAATACATTTCATTTTTGTCATTCCTTATTTTTTTTAAAATAATAATTAAGAGAATTAATTGCTTTTTAACTTGTTTAGTGCAAATCTATTAAAATGTGCTTAAGAGCACACATATTTAACTATTTAAAAAAGGGAAATAAGTCATGGAAGTGGTTTGAACTTTTGCGTATCTTTCACGCGATGGATTTATTTTCTAAAGAATTTTGAGGACAACAGCGTGTGTTTGATTGTAGGAGAAAGAGGACTCGAGATGATGTCTATACAATAAGAATAATCCAATTGCAGCTGCAGTATTCTTTTTACAAAACATCCATCAAGACAAAAATGCAAGAACATATTTTTTTCTGTAAAAAATTATTATTGTCGTCTGTGGGCTCCTAAACGTCCCGGGCCCCACCGCAATGGCGGGTCTGGCGGCACTGTAGTTCCGCCCTGATATTTTTCCGAAATCTTGTCAGAACTCTGTCAACATAGATTATTTTCACCAATTCCTATTATAATTTATTAAAACCGTTTTCTAAAACGCGATATAACGGTTAAAACTCGTTTTCTAGAATTGGTTTTTTTATTATGCAAAAAAGTAACGTCACACCATCTGAACCCCCCCCCCCTCGTCACACAACGTCACAAAATTACGGAATCGCCCTCCCCCTACGAGTCTAAAGTCATTTATGTACGACTCCGTATTAAAATTATTTGACTCTAAGAAACGGAAAAATGTTTTGTTTATTTTCAGGTCTAAAAATTGACATGAACAGAGAATATTTTTACCACGGCAAGGATTTATTTTGTGCACAACTCCAGTGTACAGAAAACATAAGAGAAGACACTCAGATATTAGCTCTTGTCAACATGTCAGCCTATAGGATCAGTGAACCAGAGGGGAAGATTTTTGTAGCGTCTATTTCAGAATCAGATTCAAAGCTTCAAGATTATAAAAGGGCTGGAACAAGAGTAGATGGAAAAATATCGAAAACATTTTCCGAATTGGAAGTTTTTTTAGCAAATAGTTCAGACTGCAATGATGGCATTTTCTTATGTGAAATACATTATGTAAATACAACAGGATCTATTGACAGAATTGGGAAACAGACGGAGAGTTTAATAAGGAAATCAAGTGACACATTTCTAATGATGAACTTGAAAGCTAAAACATCTGACTATGTTAAATCTGTTGACACAATGGCCGACTTTCTCAAATCGTTTGAAGACCCAGACAGACTGAAAGGTGCAGACATGACAATGTCATTACAGATGTCACATTCTGGTGGCGATAAATTCAGAACAGACAAAACTTTTGGTCAAACAGATACAGAGCCAAATAACAGTTATAAACAGATCAGTTCATCTACATTTGAGGACATGTTGGAAGATAAGATAAAGAATTTAACCCTTGATGTAAACAAAACATTACAGATGACGGAACACAAACTGAGTTCGAAGACAGAGTTAAACAAAAATAGTTTGGCTGTTTTAAACGAATCAATTCAAACAATGTTAGCCAACACACAGAACCAATCAGAGCAACTTAGCATCAGATTAAATGAGATGGAAACAAATATAAAGAAAACTATCACACAAGAGAATATCAATACAACATTAAATTTGGTAGCCGGTCTCAACAAAACTCTACAAGGTTTTATAGACGAGTACTACGATAATCCAATGAACTTAAAATTGACAAAACAGGTAAACAATTTTTTATGCCTATTTTTTACGTGAAAAAAAAATTCATTGAAATAAACTATTATGAGTGCCGTAATAAATTGCTTTTAACAATACTAATTTAACTAAATTATCTTGATTAGTACATACAGTTAAAATAAATATATACTATTTTAAAAAGTAAAGTTAATAAAAAATTCCATTTTATAAATCAAGGTAATACAAAATTGTATTAGACCAGAAGAAAATAATGCTTTTCAAGTTGTATGTATAGCCTTAGCTTTAAAAAATATATTGTCATTTATTTTTTTAAGTGTGTCAGGAACGATGACTCAAGTCTCCCAGAACAAATGGCTTTTAAACTGGATAAAAGAAAACTGGTCTTGTGTGATACAAAAACTGATGGCGGGGGATGGATTATAGTACAGGTAATTTATGCTTCTATTTTTGGTAATTTAATGTTAACGTTAGAGTATCCTGTTCAAATGTTTTCCAAATTAATTAGCATTTCCAATATGATTTCCCCTAATTTAGCCGAATTGATATCAGGTCTAATTATGTACATTAAATTTAAGACATAAGGTTTTAAAAATGGAAAATTATTTTATTTTTTCTTATGTTATTAATTACAGATATATCTGAACATTAATTTAGTGGTACAATGCCTTAAACGATCCGCATAGAGTCCGACTATTTATGGAAAAATGATTTATTTCAAAATATGTTAATTACAAAATGCACCACCATATCATGTGTAGCATTTTTAGTGTTTAAGCCTAAAATCTGTGGCGAAGTCGGATGGTCTCAAAGCAGAGGGAGGGGGGTCCAATTATTTCCCATTATATATAGTATACATATATATATATATATATATATATATATATATATATATATATATATATATATATAGATATATATATACATATATATATATATTTAATCTGTATGTCATTGCTTAGTTATTATGTAAAATAATTTGCTAGAAGCACTCAGAGAAAACTAGAAAAAACACACAATATAGGCCAAAAGAAACAAAAACATTGTATCACTATAAACAAAAACAAAATGAAAAAATAAATACACAATCAAAAAAAAAAACAATGACCGCAACACAAACGGTTTTGTAATGCGTTTAAAAAAACACTATGACATAATAATTTCTGGGAACTAGGGGAAATAAATAACTCTCTTTTAATATAGATTTGTATATGTCTACACATTTAATTGGAAATGTTAGAACAGATCAATAATTACTTAGTATGTAATATATATGCTTAACGTTATTCTCCGTTCTACAAAAAATATGTTGTCTACAGTCAGAATTAAATATATTGTTATCATAAATGCTAAAATGTTACAGCATAATGAAAGTTTGTATAAACCGAGCGTTTCTATACAATATAAAAACTAAATCTAATAGGTGAAACATTCTGAATATTAGCTTACACATGACTAAAATATTGGACTTGCAGTTCAGATCATACGTTTTTTAATTAGCTACTGTTTTATGTGTTCATAAAAGATCATTTTTTAACATAATGATAAGGCATGGTTTAGATCATTGTATTGCAAACACATCTCTTTACTTGTAATTGCAAAAGCAATATTCACAACGATTTACCTGTTTCAAAAGCTATGATTCTGGCGGCATGGTACTTTGGTACCTCACCAAGCGTTTTGCTAAATATACTTAACTGCTCAGTTCGAGGTTTGTTGGGGGGGAGGGAGGTGTGGGCCACTTGATTCAGCACTATCCGGTCAGCTTATACATAGGTGTGACTTTAATGTCGCTCTGCACAATTACGGCCGTTTCCGTTCTGGTGGTTAGGTGTGGGGGAGGGTGGGTATAATTAACTCCGAGTGAACATAGCGTCAGTTTTTAGATGACTTTTCTAAACATATATATATATATACAATTATACATATGTACTGATTTAGAAAAGGTTTAACTTTATTTTACATAGGGGTCCTTGTGGGGGGGGGGGGGTTGTAATACACAGAAACCACCCCTGCTACTCCACTGCATAAAACACCCTAAAAATACTATACGAATATTTGAAACGGGTGTTTCAAAAGATTAACTTACAAGTTGTTTCTGTAAAGTATTGAAGCAATATTGAATTAACTTTACAATACATATGGTGCCGTAAGAAATAGATATAAATATTACCTTTATAAATACAGGGAATCTTTATCCTGTGCTAATAAGTCTGTGGTGAGCTTTTTGGGTGATTACTGCACAAAGCTTATCTCCATTAATTTTAAAAATAGCGTAGCATATTCCTCTATTCAACACACATTTTAAAAATACAAAATAAAAAAATAAAAACTTCGAGTAATAGCGCTGCTGATATTCTGGTGTATTCCCAAATATTACTTACTGACTCGTTTTAACCTGTTTCATTAATTACCCCTCGACTACCCCGCACTATTTTTTTAACACTGGTTCTAATTATAACACTTTCTTGACTTAATGGCCATATCTGATTAACTTTCTGGTTGGTTCTTTCAATTATGACCAATCGTTTTCAAATCTTCCTCCATAAGTAATATCATACTACTTTTGTGATTGCGATTAAGTGTAGTAAGTTTTTTCAGGTAAAATTATTAATCGTCCAATGTCGTCTATAGTACAGGAAACTAAACAGTTTTTGTGAGATAATCATAATCGATTGTGTGTTTCCTTTTTGTAGTTTTAGATAAGGTTTAAATAAAGATATTTGTTAAATAGGCTTATTTTCTATTATTTTTGGATGATTCCATCGTAGCGTATTAAATTCCTGTAGATTAATTAGTATATTATTATATACAACCGATTTAACTAAATAAATATTTGTAATCATTGTTTCTAGTATATATAACGCTGTTAATTTTTATCTTCTTTTGTTGCATATACTGACTTAACCATCAACAGTTCCGAATGGATCAAACAATATAATGGGTCATTAAAAACATAAGTCTCTTGTTTTGTTTAGTTTTCAATTTGTCAAATGTATTTTGTAAATGTTCACATTACTTGTTTTTTTGTTATATTTTCAGAGACGCGTAGCAGGTGATGTGAGTTTCACCAGAAACTGGAGCGACTACAAAAATGGTTTTGGATCTTTGGCTGGAGATTACTGGCTAGGAAATGACTGGATCTCAAGCCTCACACAAAACGTAGTTTTAAATTTTAGTTGTTACTTGTATTATTTGTTTCACATTTAGTATGTTACACATTTTAAATGAAAATATAGGTTACATTTATTTATTAACTACTGTTGTAATGATTTAGGTTTCAAGTTATAGCACTTTATATATGGCGGTCTTTAAGAGAGACAGGAGTCAAATTGACAAAAATAGTTAAAAATAATATACATTTGTCAAATGTGACCTTAAATTTAATAGAATATAAATTACCAATATAACACTAACACAATACATAATACACGAGCAACCAACCCTCAACAACGAACAAAATCAAAATCAAAATCAGACAAGTCTTCTCTCCACAGCAAAATATGATCTCAATATGTCTCAATCTTTCATGGCCTGGTTTTCACACGTTCAAAACTCTCATTCAACCGTCTTCGAATCACATAATCTGGTAAATGTAAAAGGGGATTTGTAGTGTCATTTTGAAAAAAAATTATTAAAAGAAAATAACATTCCCCTAGATCTAAAGTAAAAACTGAGCCGTGAATTTAGCCTATCAGAGATCAAAAGGACACATAAAATTAGTTGATCAGTTTTTGGGGTCATTTTCTCATAAACAGATGGCTTGATCTGTTATATAAACACCCACTTTACTAACAGCCGCTTTTAATTTCAATATTGCCCCTTTTAACATTCTTAAACATATTTCTTTGTTATTATTCAATGTTGTTTTTTGTGGTAACCTTTATAGCTATATACTGTAAATATATATTTATATATTGACAGGGTTATACTGAACTGAGGTTTGACATGAAATATAAAGGTAAATCCTACTACACCGTGTACAGTAATGTGACGGTGGGAAATGAAGCAGATTTGTATAGGATAAAGTTTACATTCAAGACAGGCAACGCTACAGACAACTTTAGTGAACACAATGGAATGGCTTTTTCTACTGTCGATAGAGACAACGATGGATATTCTGATCACTGTGCTGAGAGATGGAGAGGCGGCTGGTGGTATAAATCATGTCATTATGTGAACGTAAACGGTGTGTGGGCGAGTAAAACTAATGGTCAAGGCATTATCTGGTACGGTATATCAACACATGATAATTCTCTGGAGCACGTTGAGATGAAACTACGCCGGCCATGATTATTTAAAACTAACTGGAAAACAAAACGTTGTATTAACACTGACGGATAAATGACAATAATTACAATATTTTGCTGTCCTTACAGGTTCAGTTTTATATTCATGTGTATGTATATTTTATGCAATGACAACAATTGCTTTGTGTTTAATTTGAAATCAACAAACAAAAAAAAAAACGTTTTCCCCTAACTAATGACGCGCTGTCCACTGCTGAATGAAATTCTCTGTTGATTAGATGTTTGTTTTTGTAGCGATCCGTTGTGTATCACATCAAAGCATGTTAGATACAATTCTAAATACATTTTGAAATGTTAATATACCTTCTGTTGTTCTACTTTTATATGTAAACTGTTTTATTGTACCAGTTTTACTTTAATTATTAGGAAATGGGAGTAACCAAATTATACAAGGCGATAGCGTACACACGTATGGCCAATACTGTCAAGAATAACAGTTTTAAAAATACGATTTCTTTGTTTTTTTATAAAACAGAAAGTTACGAGTTTATGAAAAAAAAGTAAACTATAAAATATTGATTTTCTTTGAAGTAATGTCATGACCGAAACGATCGAAGACATGATACATTTGTAGGTACAATTAAAATAAACATTTTTATTGTATCTTACATATGAGTAAGAGCGGAGATGGAAAAGTGAAATCGGGCTTGTTTTAAACCGCTCGTTTTTAGACACCAAATACTGGCGAAACGTTCTTAGAATATGCTGCCTATGATAATATTTTATACAATTATCAAATTATTAAGGTATTTGAGCAATTAGAAAAAGGGAAAAATACCAACCACAGACATTTGTTTTGGACTGATCTTGTAGACTTAATAAGTAATTTTATCAACAAGGAACTATGAATAGATTCAACAAGTAAGTTGATAAACAATGAACTCTACATTTATTTAATAAGTAATTTGATTAACTAGAAACTATGACTAGACCAAAACGTAATTTCATCAACAAGGAAATAGATCCAACAATTAATCTGATAAACAAGAAACTATAACTATACTTCGGTCGATTATATGTGCTGTTGTCTTAACAGGTAACATCGTTTAGATATGGACAATATTTATTAAATATAATTGACTTGAAACATAATAGCTATAAGGATATTGATAAGGTTAGAGTTAAGAATACATTTACGGTTGCGAATATTGATAGAATTCGGTTTAGGGTTAAGATAACAAAGATAATTATGAAGCTATTTCTATACTAAAATTTTGACTTTAAAATATGAATCTAGAAAGTTAAAAATACAAAGGAATGATAGATCAATGCCTATGGGATTAAATGGCTCCGGATTCATTTATCTTTGGGATAATGGAGATCGTGGGTAAGTCATAATCGGATGGGGGGGGGGTGGGTGTTAAAATAATAAATGTTTAATACTATTCAACTAAAACAAATGCATGTATTGATCTATTTTGATGGTCCACTGAGAAAGTGAAGTAGAGTTTTTAACGTCTTTACAGAAGCATGTTTCAAGCATTTGTTCTGCGCCTCCCTGACAAAGTCCTGCTCTGCTGGGGAAGTCATCCCCCCCCCCACAATATTCCTGCCCCACCCCAGCCAACCAACGACACCATCTACCAGCTCGTCAACCAAGTCAATCTACATCCTTTTAGTGATTCAAAAACGAATTTTTGACTAACTCTAATGAATAGGTTGATCATGTTCTAAAACAGTAAGTTGGCCATGTCTTAACAACAGCAGGTTGGCCATGTCCTAAAAATGCGCAGGTTGGCCATGTCCTCAAACAATTGGTTGGCCATGTAGTAAAACACGTACATCTCGTTGATCAACGATCGAGTCTATCAAGTGTTCTGGTACTCGACTAGTGTCTAACACTGACACGGGAGACAGTTTGCAGCGATAGCGAAATACTTACTAAACTTACACAAGACAATCGTGAAGGTAGAGAAGACTTCCTCGTGTATGGTTCAACGATCTAGTTTAATAGTAATGCCGTAAAGTGGCGTCATCTGGTAGAACTTATAATTATTCTAATGTGAGCCTCACAAACGGCAACATGGCCAAAATATTTCTCTTTTGACTACCTATAGTGGCTAAAACACGTCAACGTTTTTCTTACTTTTAGCTGAAACAAAAGATACCAATCAGTCTAAACATCAATTGTTTTTATTACTCTAATATTGATGATAAATAACCTTTAAAACTTTTTCTAGTCTAGATATTAAATCTATTTATAAGCTACTGATAGGCGTCTACTAAATATAATATTTTTCTCTTGTCCTTAACCTTCTACTCTTTTCGTCACGCGCTTGACTTTTCCTCGGCTTAATCTGTGTATATGTATAGGGATAACAAAGCTAGTTTTAAATTACTTGTTTTATAATAGTTGATCACAATGTGTAACTTAACAGAGTATATTTTATTTTTTTCAATACCATTTAAAATACAGTCGATGTCAATGTGTAATAAATATTATTATTGCTTTTTGTATTTTTATTTTTAATTTTTTTGTATTTTGCACCAGGTCTCATTTCTGCAATAGTCAACAAAGCTCATTATAAAAAGATAAAGATTTATTTGAAAACTTTTAAAAATGTTTTTAAGAACCTGCTGTAATTACCTACTTCAAGCTGTGAAGTGCTTAATGTTTGCACCAGTAAGTTTTTTTTTCATCAACGATGTAAACAGGTTTGAAGATATTTTTAAGACTCTCAAGTTTTAAACCCTCATTTCCTCCAAAGTGTTTTTTTTTTGTGACTTGGCTAAATCACTTAACGTTTTCTATTTTGGTGTTCATTTTTCCGTCACACGTTTTCCGCACTAATTTCACGCATAATCTCCAACGCAGAACTTTATTTTTAAATTATCGTTTACATTTTTTGGTATAGCCAAAATATGTCAGTTTTGGGAAAAAACGGAGCGGTAAAAAAGTGTGGAGATAATTATACATCTAAAAGTGTACCAATGTTTGGCTTGTTGCAGGGTAAATATTTTAGGAAAGAATTTCGAAGTTAAAAATAAATCCAATTTACTCCATTTGGCTTATTGACGTCAGAAGGATAGTGTTGAAAAAACGAAGAAAACAAAATGACCATAAAACCAGCCCACGTTTTCGAATCGTTTATTGAGATTGCAGTCGTCAAAGTGAAGTTGTCTTTTTTACAATTTTGTTTATTCGTGTGTTTAAGGTAATTGGACATTGCTACCACAATGATTTTCCCTGTGTTGTACATATTCATCGCTGTGAATATTATTTCTAGTACAGGTAAGATTCGATTGCTATTTTTTTTAAAATTTAACAGTAATAAAGGTAATTATCAATTACATTCATGAATACAAAAGATTCAAATGAATAAAAACAAACATCTCGAATCTAGAAAACGAAACATTTTTCTAAAATGTAAATCGTCATATTTCCTTTTGTCGTATACAAAGTATTGAGAACGTATTGTAATCGTGCAAAAAAAACAACAACTCGAAATCGACACGTTTAGCATCTCACTGAGTCAGAAAAACATAATTGTTTTTCAATTTTGTCTGTTTTTCTGTGTATCTGATGTAAACACGATGACTTGAGTACCGCTTCAATAATGTTTATATAAGAATTATATCATATTTGTAGTTTTGAATAAAAGTTAGAGCGTTTTCCGGAACCGAATGTTGCACTTATTATATTTCAGATTTCTTAAAAGCCTATAACTTGGAAATTTTTTGTTACGTATGCTTCCTTCAAATTGTGTACGATTTAAAAGAAAACGGATGCAGTACTTTACTCTTTTTCCATGTAAACACTCTAACTTAAGTATGGTTTCAGTTAGGTAGATTAATTTTCAAATCGTACAATTGAATCTGTAACAATTTTTAAGTAAACTCCAATAACCGGAAGTGTTACTTTCGTCTATTTCTGTTTAAAAATAACGATAACTTGATTACTGTTTCAATTTTTTTACAAAATTGAAAAAAAGTAGATTAACGATCCTTTTGTCTTGATGCTATAAAATCTTAAATGATTTCAGGTGAACAGAAGTATTACTTCACGCTTTTTCCTTAACGATTTATCCAAAATCTTTCGCGAAGGTCGGGACTCGATGACACAGCAGCGTGAATTTTGCTAAATTAGATGTTTAATTAAATGTTTAATTAACTTTAATAGAGTTAAGCAATGTTTCCTCTATAAAAAACTAATTCTTTGCTCTATTATACACGCGTATTTGTGTTTATTTTCGAGCGCATGTCTTTCTATGCGATTCCATTCTATGTTCAAAATCTAATTCACGAGAAAGTTTAGGGGAGATCACCACTCCCGGTTTATTAATTCGCATTGCTGTTCGGACCTTTTGATTAAAACTATTGTTGACATGTAGCAATTAATTTTAAAATTTTCAGGAGGCTCTTTTTCATAGGGGTAAGCCTATATTTGGAATACTAATCTAATCGCATGTATAAATTTTCCCCACCTTTCTCACTATTCAGTAATACTTGTATCTTTATGCTTGTGGCTCCATCCAGAGGATTAGCCGCAAGTAAAATATAGCCAAGCATACCGATGCTGAGCCTCAGTATCTATTTGTCCCTAGTTACAGCACATCTTTTTTACTTTGGTTTCCATTTCCCGTCTTTGGATATTTCTGGGATGAACTTTTTTTTTTTAAATTTTGCTATTTCAGTTCTATAAAAAGAAATGTCTGGTGATGCTGGATGCTGGTTTCCTGATAGTGTGGTCGATCCATCGCCATTGGTTCTTTTCTTTTTATTCTTCAACCATCCGTTAGATGGTCCACCTCCGTAAAACCAATGCAGTAATAATATAATGTTCAGGCTTGCAGAAAGTTTTGTATTTTCATGTGTTAGTGGCAGTATTTCTACGTGTATGTGCTCCATGCATAAGTACAGGCTTGACCTTTGTGTTAAACACTTGACGGTTGGTTTTGACAGCCAGTTGTCACAAAGTACAGACTTTAACAGCTGTCTTAAAGCTTTTTATCTTCAACGCCATTCAGTTACATGCTATATATTTCGTCTTAAATTTTGCTTTAAAACACTTAAAATATCAATCATTATCACTACACAAGTCCTATACTTTCTCTTCGAAGGTTTAAATACCAAACATCGCCAACATACTTATTAATATAAGCTAATTACTGTCCTATCAGTACAACCGTGGTAAAACCCACGTGGTTAAACCCTAACCTTAATCTACATAAGAAAACAAAAAACTTTAACAATTTAATAAAAAAAATTATCTTACAAAAATGTGGAACCAAAACTTAAATGAAAAGATATAGATGTAAATAAATTAGACCAAAAAACAAAATATAACACTCAAAACATACAAATCAAAACTCAACAAAACACCCACAATCGGATTACAGTCCTAGTAGGAGGAACAATAGACACAAATCATTTAAAATAGAAAAAAAGGTTACATACATTTCACTAAGCTGACACAAAATTGAAAATAAAATGGATATTGTACAAAATGAACCTTCAAATGAGGGGTGACAAGATTAAATTTTAACCATCCACAAGTTGTTCACACAGAACACACTCAAACGTAAATATCAGGTCACTGAGCATAAAACTACTAGTTCAATGCACACAATTATTAGCCTAAACAAGAGGCTATTATAAATGAAAGTAAAATTTTACATTGATCCATGACTAAACCCAGACCATCATACTACCACGCGGTAGTCTCAGCGTCGAAATGGCTAAATAGTACGTAGTCACTTCGTAGACAAAATAAGCAAACTATTAAAAAGGAAAACATTAATAAAACACCATCAAAATACGTACCCAACCCCTCAGAAACACTTCAACACACAGGCCTCGACTTTCTCAAAAAATGTCCCTCCCTGTCCACACGACAATCTCGCAGAATGTCCCTCCCCTGTCCACACACCACATTTACGAATTAAAAACCAATACTACGCACAAGAAAATAGTCCCTAATACAACAATAACTAACATTCACGACATAAAACATAATGAAACCACACACACCAAAACAAAGTTTACATACATAATATCAAAATATATAAACAAGACAAAGCAGCTATAAACCGTTTTAAAATCATAATCATATCAGCGGCATAAAAGCGGACTACTTAAATAAAAACCACAACAATCCTCAACAGGAACACTAAAAGCGACATTCACCTATCTATATATATAATTCTCTTCTTCGAGCCGTTAGAAAACAAGCTGCAAACGCGCCTTACAATCCCCTCTCTTTTTCATTCTTCACTAGGCATAAATCAACCTCCCCCACCCCCACATGGTGTTGTGAGCTGTGGTTCACGCTTAATGTTTATATTACTAGAGACGGTCCCAATAATTGACGGCTATTAGGGGCAGATAATTTAGTTTTTAAATTATTTGAAACTAAGTGGAGATAACAAGTTCTGCTTGATATTTTCATTGTCGTCTGTAAACTGTCGTCATGGGAGGCTGCTTTCATGGGGGGTGGGGGGGGGGGATTGCGAAACAGTGTGTACCCGCAGCAGTGTGTACCTCAGTCGCTCCTGTGTCCTCAGTTGCTTTGGTATATCCTACAGTCGTCTGAGCTACGTTTGCCCCGAAGCATTGTTTTGATTTTGCCCCTTTGTTTCCTAACAATGGCCACCGCTTCAAATATATTTCGTGGAGTCGACAGGTCTTTCCAGGTAGTCGAAATTCCTTCATCAGGTAATTGTTTATTCCTATCAGTGGCGTATTTTTGGAAAAATGTCATCGATGAAACTGTTGCTCTCGAACTTCGCAAGATGGCTGTAAGCTTTGTTTGCGAACATTGGGACAACTATGGCGACGCCCTGTCCGTTGTTCTTACTCACGGGAGCACAGTCATACACTCTGCTCAACAATACGCTGCCTACATGACTACTTCCGGCGTTTATGGTGTCGAGGCTGAAATTGTGGCGATGTCTCAGATACTTCCCGCTACTATCGCTATTTACTTTCGAGAACGTCCACATGACCCTCCTCGAGTTTACAATCCGGGTCAACGTCTCTCCATATCCCTGCTATTTAGCGGTCCTTTGGATCATGGCCATTACGAAGTTCTCTTGCCTTTCACAAACACACGTGATGCCCTTCTGGTGCCATCTGTTGACAACGTCGGCATGTGCACCAACATTACGCACCCATGTGATCTCCACACTGATGTGACGTCACCTGCCCACTCTCCTGTTACTGATGAACATTTACAAACGCCGGGTTTTCAATGCAACATTTGCTCAAAACAGTTCACACGAAAAAATAATCTTAAAGCACATTTAGAAACACACTCCAGTCAGCAAACGCATTCCGCAGAGGACTTTAAATGCACCATTTGTTCCAAAACCTTTCGACTAGAGAAATATCTCAAAGCACATTTAAAAACACACTCCACTGAACGAATGATGCAATGTGAATATTGCCAGCAATGCTTCAAAACAACTCGCATGTAGAAACACATTTAACAACATTTCTTTGCAGCATCTGCGACAAACAGTTTCTCGCACGCAAAAATCTTATCACACATTTGAAAACTCATGCCCTGACGAAATCCTTCTTTGAGTGTGTACATTGCAAACGTTCTTTCAAACAGTCGCATATTCTCGCAATACACATGCGCATTCATCACATTCAACTTTCCGCTGCGTTTCAAGAAGACACTGCCCTTTCCATCGAAGAACATGACATTGGACTACCTACCGCACTATGTACTTCTTGCAATGCTCTTCATTGGCCATCAGAGGTAAACAAATCGGGACATTACACTAAGTGTTGTCATAGCGACAAAGTGTCTTTGCCACCGCTATCCAAAGCTCCTGCTTTATTACAAAACCTCTTGAGTGGCAAAGATCCGCTGTCCCGACATTTCTGTGATCATATCAGGGAATACAACTCTGCTTTAGCTTTCGCATCAATGGGCGCAGACATTGCTCAACCACCTGGTCATGGACCATATGCATTCCGAATCCACGGTCAAATTTATCATCAAGTCAGTCCTTTGTACACCAATCCTAACACGACCCCTCGATACGGTCAACTATATATCTTCGATTCTGCTGAGGCTACCACTCAACGTTTGCAAAATTATTGTAACAGTACTTGCAGTAGAATGTTGTTGTTGCAACTAGACAAAATGATACGACAGGTTAACCCCTTTGCTAAATCGTATATGCAAATGCACGACATTATAACTCACAGTAACTCTGTTTCTTCTGTACGAATGGTATTCATGGAAAATCCAACCCTGGACATGAGAAGGTACAACGCACC